TGCTGTTCTTTGCATCATTACCATCTAGTGCCATGTCCTGATCCATGAGATAACGTTATCTCCATAAATTCAATCATACTCCAGCAGCATCAGGCTGAAGTACACAGACTTCTTTGGTTTTGTGTACACCAAACTGGTTGACTACAACTTTCTTCATCCAAAAACGGCCACTTCTTTATCCTCCCCTTTCTAACAGGTTTAAGTACAGCCCCTCAAGTGTGATGCTTTTGTTTCCAACAGAAGGCCCGTGGCTGATACAGTGAGGTATAGCAGGAACTTGGCCGTAATTGTTTTGGTGATGTATATGAAGTTTTATAACTAGGTTCGGGAACAAAGACTATGCCTTGCACTCATCTAATTTCCGTTTAAAACGTACTTAAGCACACCTTATCCGTTCACTCCCTCCTCGACTCAGTTACCACATCCCTCCCCCCGAACCCTTTCTTTCCTTTTTCCCCCGTCTCTCTTGTCCAAATATAGGAACCACTGGGGCTCTCTACAAGAGATACGAAAAGACGGCTCCCCCACTCAGAGTCTCACAACCCAATGCACCAAACCCCTCCGTCCATTCATCCATCCGCCAACAAACCCACCTTTCTTCCATCCGTTCATCCCTCACTCTTCCTTCAGATACCACTTCATTCCTCAATCTTCAACTCTTTATCCCTCAACTCTTCTTCCCCTCATCCCCCAACCCCTACCCCACACGTTCATTGGTGTGGTCTGTGTTAGTGGAATACTGTATGTATGAAGCTAAAGCATGAATGAATTTCCTGAAAACTTCTTCAGGGAATAAAATATTTGAACACGGCACATCATTTGGCGGTATGGTAACACCATGTTGGAGAATGTGTAGGTGGGGTGAGTGCACTTTATGCTTGACCATTTTAACTCATACATGGACTCCATGCAAGATGCCAACCTGTTCATCAGGAACCAGGAACCCCTTCCATTACAGCATCATTGACTTGATTATTGATTTTTTGATCTTTTAATTTAGTAATTTAGAAATTGTTCTTTTTTGTTCAAACCGTCAATCTAATCTGACAGTTAGTACATTTGGAACCACTGTGATGTAGGACTTGTTTTACTTGTGTATACAATACATTTTAGTATTCAGGAAAGGCACAGGGCATGGCTGCTTTCCATTTAGGTGCTCTAGTTCCAGCAAGCTCTTTGCAGGTTGTTCCTCATCAGACCAGCAGCTGTCACTGTACACCACAGTTTTTCAGCAGGTTCTTACCTTATCATTAATCTTACAACCTTTATCATATGTACAGCCTGGTTTTACACAGCCATCAACTGAACACTACACAGGAAAATCCAGAGGTACGGGGTTGTGCCAGCATTGGGGGAAAAATCCAACTCTTAATAATTCCATAAATGAATTGTTTCATAAAAAAATACTAAAACAAGACAGAAATATATAGTAGTATCTTATCATGTTCTTTTTAGTTGTACTGGCATTATATATAGTGCTGTATTAAAGGCAGGCTACAGTAGTAGCATGTGGGTGTATTATCATCATTCACAAAATCTCCAAGATAAATCTAACATTATCATATATTTTTATTATTAAAAAAGAAAGTGTGTGTTCATGGTAATGAAGGAAAATTTCACACAGGGAAACCGTCATGGAGCTCTGTGGCACAGGGTAAAGATACAGACAATAGTTGTACATGCGGTATATTCATTGTTGGTTTTGGTCTTTTCATAGATTTTTTGAGTAATTTGTCCCTTAAAGGTCCAGTGTGTAAGATTTTGAGATATTGGAAGAAATGGAATAAAGACATTTTTCTCTACAGAGGGAGCGGGTCCTCTTCTACAGATGGATGTATTAATGAGAACTGGATACAGCATCAGAGGTGGGGCTCATTCATTCCCATGAAAGTTGCTCAGTGGCACATGGAGCCAAAAAATCAACTTCCTGCTGTAAAGAAACTAGCTAGCTGAAATCATACTGATGCACCATTATACAATTCCTCTGTGCAAACAAACCAGGGTATTTCCCAAAGTGTCAAACTATTCCTTTAATTTGCAGTAATTAAAAAAAAAGTAATCTTTATTTTCACCCAAAAGGACTCCCTCTCTCTCTCTCTCTCTCTCTCTCTCTCTCTCTCTCTCTCTCTCTCTCTCTCTCTCTCTCTCTCTCTCTCTCTCTCTCTCTCTCTCTCTACTGTTTTCACTGCATGTCTCTCTGACCTGAATAACTGTTGGATAGGCTCAGACTGTTTTGTCCATTGTTCTGGTGGAATAACGGGGGTTTGTCTCCGTCTGTCAGCTGTGATTGATTGGTCTCGTCACCGTGGAGATAGAGTGGAGCTAATTCTCCGTCGGCTGCCTCCATCTACCGTTCTCTCGTTCAAGCTTACCCTTTTATTTGGAGTTTATTTCACCCTCTGAAAGGTCCAGTGTGTAACATTTAGGAGGATTTAGTATTGTCAGAAATGGAATATAATAATCATTAGTATGTTTTCATTAGTTTATAATCACCTGAAAATAAGAATCGTTGTGTTTTTGTTACCTTAGAATGAGACGTTTTTATTTACAGAGAGAGCGGGTCCTGTTGAACCACCGTAGTTTCTTTATCGTGCTTGTTATCATGAGATAACGTTATCTCCATAAATTCAATCATACTCCAGCAGCATCAGGCTGAAGTACACAGACTTTTTTGGTTTTGCGTACACCAAACTGGTTGACTACAACTTTCTTCATCCAAAAATGGCTGATGCACCATTATACAATTCCTCTGTGCAAAGCAAAACCAGGGTATTTCCCAAAGTGTCAAACTATTCCTTTAATTTGCAGTAATTAAAAAAAAAAAAATGTAATCTTTATTTAAAGAGAGAGCGGGTCCTCTTATGGCAGAGTCCATCATGTTGAACCACCATTTTTCTACAGTAGCCCAGAATGGACAAAACAACACTGGCTCTAGAGTGGGCCTTTCCCGTTTTTCGAATGTTTTGTGGCCACCGTAGTTTCTTTATCGTGCTTGGAAAGGTAGGGTGAAGAAAGGGAGTTGCAATCTGCAACTACACCTCTGCTGCCAGACTCTCTGTGTCCATGCTGAAAACGCAGAGAGTCTGGTGGAGATTTTACAGTCAGTAAAGTAAAGTAAATTCACAGTCGTTTGTAATAGTTTCTGTGTGGTACCTGTGTTGAAGCCAAGCTAGCAGCTCAGCAAGGCTAACTCTTCCATATGTGTGTGTCTGTGGGGGGGCGGTCAGTGCGTGCGATCACCATCAGGGGAAATGATCTTTGCTGATTCCTCTACCGCCATCTAAAGCACAACTCTGAACCACTGCACCAAAATCCTAAGAATCCTAAAAATACAAAGTCAAGTGTTTGTATTAAATTCAATTTGGGACTATGTATTCATATCTTGCACTGCATTGTAACTGCACTGTGAAATTGTATTTTACTGTAACTTTCTATGTGTTTCTATCTTCTCTTTTTTAAAACCTTTTTATGCATATCGTTTAATATTGCCTTGTGTTTCTTTTATCTCCCTTTCTATGTAAAGCACTTTGAATTGCCTTGTTGGGTGCTGTACAAATAAACGCGTCTTTCTCCATCTGTACATTTTCAGGCATCCTTTCAAGTCCTTTGTTTTACATTTCTTGTGCTGTGGCACAAAGAAGAATGAGCTTTTCTTACATGCTGTCATTTATTTTTCTTCTTTCTTTCGGTCTACTTCTCTCATCCTCCTTCATTAACTTCTTTCAGCTGACTCCCACCAGTTCTCTTCCTCTTCCTTCCCTGCTGATCTTCAAACTCCCTGAGCACCCTGAGCTTGTAACTCACTGGGCTGAACCATCTCATTGTTCCTTTCTTTCCTTCTAAACCCTGCGTTCAGCCTGTTACACCCTTTTCGCTCTCTCTCATCAGTGCAAAGGAGGGATTTAGTACTGCATCTTTAATTTTTCCATGTGCAGTCAGTGTAACAGCGCTGATTTAAGTTCCTGGTCTCTCTCAAATCAAATTATCACAGCTGCCCCTGCTGAACAATAAACACGAGTTTATTTTTTATTTATTTTACAGTTTTTCCTCATTTGCTTATCTCGGAAGTTACATTTTGGAAACAGTTTGCAAACAGGTCTAAACTGAGAACCATTAAAAAATAACCCTAACCCAAAAAAAACCTATAATAAAACAATAATTTAACACTAAATAACAGTTACAGTAATAAGAGAAAAAATAATTTTGAGTTGGTATTCTAGCTTCAAACTTCAGCAATTCTTTTGCAGAAATATTTCAAATATATAACTTGAGGAAAAGGTTGCTGTCATCATCAATGGGCTCTAAAAAGGGAATTAGAGGAACTGCAGTTTTTCTTACTTCTGTGTTGGCTTCATTTGATCAGATGCTTTCCCCCTTCACAAGCAATTGTTAAACATTGGTTGCACGTCCAACCCAGTGTTGGAATCCTTGTGAGTGAAATAAAACCACACTTTAGACTGTCTAGCTCGGCATTTTAACCGCGTTTAAGGTAGCTGCTAGCTAGCAGTAGGCTACCTGTTGCCAGAGCCATATAGAGAGAGTGTTGCTGTAATGTTAACTAGTGATGACTCGTATGATGATGCCTCTGTTACATCAGAACCAGAGGGCAACTATTCTGATAGACACCTCTGGTACCAACACGAAGAATTGACATCTGTGTTGTGATTTGGTTCGGGAAATACCAGGAACCGTTGCCATAGTGGCGCCATGTTTCGGTACCCAATCCAATGTTAGTATATCATTCTTTATTTTCAAATGTTTTTTTTAAATAAAATCTTCTAATAATCCCAATTTTTACTAAATCTTACTGTAATCTCATTGTCTTTTTTTTATAACTGTAATGGTAACCATTAGGCCTGATCAGATCAACATCTTCAAGTCATTTGCGGTCGTCCCTAAAAGAAAGGAAAGATTTAAATCTTTCAGTCTTGCTATCAGACAACCTGACATGTGCTGATGCACTTGTTAAGTGACTGAAAGAAAGAAAAGGGAACACTTCATACATTTCACTTCATTTTTGATTTAATTTACTCAGCATTTTTCACATATTTCACTACTAAAAATTGTCTGCACAAGGCTTTGTACACTACACCACTTTAAATTCAAGAATTATGTCCAATAATCCACAACGTTCAATACTTATTTCATGCATTTCGTTACTCAGTATTAATATCTCATTTTACACGGGTCCAAAACAATGATGGGCACAACCAGTCTCCTCTGGGGTCAGAACCACAATGTGAACCATCCTTCAGACAAGGAAAAAAGAACATAAGCAACTAAATTTAATATAAATAATTTAAAATATAATAAAGCTGAAAAAAACAGAGAGACTAATGTCAACTCTAAAACGAGCAGAAAATAATAAACACATGGGTCAGGTGCCGGCGTTGTCCTTAGGAGTCTCAAAAGGCATCCCAGGAAAGTGCTTTGCAAATAATGAACCTGCAAATTAAAAGGCAAGTAAAGTAAAAGAACACTTTGAAACAAATTATGTCCTGGAAAACACTGAACATCACAGGTCAATGAGATCTGACTGTCGGATATAAAAGTGGGGATTTTTCTTTTAATGCACATAGTGGTTGAATACTGAATGTTTGTCAATCGTACAATCTTCCACTGTTTGTATGAATAATTTTTTTAATACTGTCAATATGTTTCTGCACCAGCGTCACCATAAATTTCTGTACATTTATTGTCTTCGGAGAATAAAGTCGCTTAGATTCTGAGACGTGAAGGGAAAAACACTCGACTTTTCCTCTGAATCTTCAGAAACTTATTTTTTCCTAAATATGAAAACAAAGCACATAAAGTTCGAAAGTTCATCTCTTAAACGTTGTCATCCAATCTACATATTCTGTTGAGCACATCCGTACTGCACGCAGTGGAAACTGTATCATCACGTCACACGTTAGGCAGCGGAGTGCACTCAGCCCTAAAGAGCCAATGTACCAGCTAGGGTTGAGTCAGTACTCGGCTGAAACAAGTATCAGGTACAGATAATGTAATTTTTGATGTGTATCATCATGTATCAACAAAATGTGTCAATATCCGTACTCGTAAGTATTGAAACTTTTACATTAGAAAAAAACTTGTTTTGTAAATATTTCTTTCACTTGAGTGATCAAATTTTACTTCGAAGTTCAATTCTGCAAATAGTTTTCTAATAAATATAGCAATTTCAGGCTTAAATGAACAACTTCAGTTTAGTCCCACCCACTTCCAGTTTAAGCACCACCCACATCTTGCTTAAGCCCTGCCCATTTCGAGTACAGGCACAAATACAAACATATTAGTTGGATACAGATATAGATAATGATGTACCCACTCATCCCTACCAACTGTACGTTAGCTACAAGCTAGCTAGCATCCAGTCTCTCTCCTTTTTCCTCTCTGGAGGCCAAGATTCCAAAAGATTAATTCAAAAGTCTTGCCTCAGTTTGCGCTTCCCACCCATGTCTGTCTGAACCTGTTCAGAGAATAGTGTCTCCACCTGCTAGTCTATCGTGCAACATTTGATGGGTCAGAGAACCTTTCAAAGATGTTCCCTCCATAAATGTATCTTTACTAAGTTTGAAGGTACGCCATGAAGGAGAGATGTTGAAAAACCTGGTTTATATCAGATGTTTTCTTTACATCACAGAAGTTTGGCTCTGAGACGTGAGTCCTGATCAGGATCCAGTCTAGTTCCAGTAGAAGAGTTAAGCAATGGCGCTTCTTTGGCTGCAAAAGAGGACATCCAACATCAAATCCCAACATCATGAGTTCCCAGATTCAGCCAGGACTTCTTTTCTAACATAAAAAGTTGTAAAGTAATTCGACTTTTCAAGCAGTTTTTGGGCTTATTCCTTTTTAGAGGCTATTGCCGCTTGTATTCCATCGCTGCCTTTTCAGGGCTATTCTCTGACATTTCCACCATCTCCTGTTGCACTCGTTACGTCTTTGTATCTTCCTTCTTCTCTCCTTTGTCATTCTGCTTGTACTAAGTACCTAAGTGTTCAACATTTAAATATCTCCTCTTTTCATCTACCCTCTCTCCAAATTCTCCTGAGTCTTAAGTCTTTCACTTTCTTTTTAACAAGTTTCTTTCTTCCTTCAAGCTCAGAGAAATCTGAAGCTTTGATCTTTTCGTTCCAAGTTTTTATTGTCCATTTCTTCCCTCTTTTCTCCTCTTGTCTTCCTCTCTGTTTGCAGATCACACAGTAGTCACAGAAAGCAGAGGGTTGTATATTTTCTTTCCATCGGGTGACCTTGAGCCATGAGCCAGCAGCTCCTGGATGGTGATCCAGTTGTCGAGGATGCGGCGATTCCTCTTCTTCATGATCTTCTTCTGGCTTAGTAACAGGATGTTGTTGCTGGGGGAGTCCTGTCGGGAATGAAGCTGGGCGGTCTGGGATGAAAGGGGGTCATCAGCGCCCCCTGTCAATGATGAAGTGTCCCTGGACATAAAACCAAACACTGATTTAGACCAACATTATAAACCATTTTAGTTTTACACATTTGAATATGCAGCCCCCAAAAAGTCCTGAAAGATTTTTTTATCTTGTGCACACAAGGATCTAATACGCTGGTCGAAGAAGGTAATAACTTATCTTGAACTCAATATAAAGAATATTATATTTTGGTGGACTTTGGGGGCTCCGTATTTAAGTCCAGTCCATGATGAATTACTGCCAAGCATATTCCAAAGCACACCCTGAACCTGCACTGAAATATGTTTTTGTCACTGGCTCAAATGACTTCCTGTAATGGGATAAACTGCTCTAAACTAGTAAAATCTGTTCTGATTAATCCCTACAAAAGACATCTTGTACAAACAACATCCGTATCTATACATTTTTTCTATACTGCCAAAAAAAGAAAATAAACTGTTAAACCAACTTTACAGCTTTGTGCAGCTTCAAGGCAGCCATTTGTTTCCATCAGTCTCTAAATGTATGCAATCATTGCTTGGTAGTGAGCAGGGACAACTCAAAATTGTAGTTTGACTGCCTGAGGGCAACTAGTCACCTTCTTTCAAACCTTTCTATGCAAATGTTGGTTTTGAATATAGCTTATAAAAATGCCTTTCAGCAGTGAAATATTTTAAGAAAGCTCTAAGTTTTCACTTGCTGCTTCAGATAAAATGTTACTGAAACGCGTCTCAGTAAAGTCCAGTATCATTCCTCATTTTGAGCCCAGCAACCTCCACACTCAGGTCTTCACAGGTGAAGGGGATGATGCTGTATAAGGTCTATGGTTCAGTGTTTAGGTCTTGGAGTGAGTCAACCTTTGTTTGACAACCACCAACAGATTTACTGTTTGTTTTAGTACTTGGAATCTCCCTATATTATGTTTGACTGATGGATTATTGGTTTGGATTAATGAGAAGCTGTTGGGATATGTGATGGATTTTTACAGCACAGGGCATCTTATCAGCTGAAGGAGGTAAGAGGATTTTGTTGTTGACATTAATCTCTGCATCTAATGACGTGCTGGTGGACACACTCAGAGCTCTTGACAGTGACAAATCACAAAGAAAACAATTATTTAACTGATAAAAATGCATTAAAAATCTCCCAATAATCTCTACCAACCTTTGTGTAAATCAAATGTATAACTACATTTAAATTAATTAATCTTAAAGTATATCCCGTGTTCTCACATTGGTGCAACTCCATAGTCCATACTGCGAAGATAAATTAGCCACTGTTTTCCTTAAGTCATTTTTTCTTTTTAAAATTTTGGAAAGAACTGGACTCCACCTGTCTCCTTTGAGGTACTCCAGGCGGCTCTGCATCATGAACTCTCTTCTTCGGCGGTACTCTCTGGCTCTCAGCAGCTGCTGCTTCCTCTCCTCTTTGCTCCAGTATCGGCCCTGTTGAAGCACAGTTTGGAAGACGTTTTGAGTCACACTGTACGTAGCCCGGGTGTAGAAATAAGGGATTAACATGATTTAGTCCCAAATAAAGTTAAAAGTCAAGTGTGTAGGATTTAGTGGCATCTAGCTCACCTCACCCTCCCATCCCCTTATACACAAATTAAAAAATACCTATAAATATTATATTCCATTTCTGCCAATAGATCCTCCTAAATGTTACACACCGGACCTTTGAAGTAAAGAACCCAAAAGCCCCAATCTTTCAGGTCTACACTCAGTCTACCTGTTTCATTTCACTGGCAGCATCGTCGTCAGTCGTCATGCCACTGCGTTCCTCCCTGATCTTCATGGCTCTGGCCTTCAGGAGACGATCCCTGACCGGCCGCTTGGCGACGTAGCGAGTGCCATCACTCCGGATCTTTACCTGGACACAAACAGGACAAAGTCTAAAAGTCCAAAGTCTAAAATTGAGCATTTAGAGGCAGAACAATACGTTTCCTTTAAGCTCACTGGGCTTTAATTTGGCTTTATAAAGTCGTGGTGCTTTTTTCTATCATTACAATTTTCCATGACTCAGTCAATGTGTTTCTACTGACTTCATATTATTATTTGTTTTCTATCTAATTAGTGCTTTTTAACCCCAGTCAAGAGCACCCATTTCTGCCAATGCAGTTTTAATAGATAATTATTGAGTTCATGTTTGAGTTCATGTTTGCCATTTTGCTATGATGGTGTGATGTTTTTTTACAGTGGTGTCAAGGAGGGTTCAAGTCCATTATAATAATAACAAAATCAATTTATATCACAATATACAAAGTAAAAACTACACAAACATGTTATGTACTAGTATTTTCGATCACACTAAACCAAATAATTCATTTTTAGTTTAAATCTGCTTCATCGTTTTTTTGGATGGTAGAATTATGTTTAAAAAATATCACTATGACAATATGACCACAAGAATAATAACTTCCACAAAAAGTTGATTTATGATGACACTGAATGAAGACCAACCTGTGCACCACCTGGATCGACTACAAGAAAGCTTATGACTCAATGCCCCACACGTGGATACTGGAATGTCTGGAACTGTATTAGATCAACAGGAACCTAAGGGCCTTCATCCAGAACTCGATGGGAATGTGGAAGACAACCCTAGAAGCCAACTCAAAGCCAATTGCCCAAGTCAACATCAAATGCGGCATATACCAAGAAGAATCCTTTTTGCACCCCCTATCAGGCCCACAAAGAGGTACAAGAAACCTGCTCTACATGGATGACATCAAGCTGACAAAAAAAGAAATCGCTCGCTGATCCACACCACCAGGATCTAAGCTCGACATAGGGATGTCTTTCGGATTGGACAAGTGCGGCCGGATGGTCTCAAAGAGGCAAGATGCAGACTGAAGGGTTGACATACCAGATGGCAACATCTGAGACAGCTCCAATCACATAGTAAGGCAGGCCAAAAGTCAGCTGAATGGCAGGAACAAGATCCAAGCCATCAGCACGTACGCACTACCAGTCATCCGATACCCTGCTGGGATCATAAGCTCATAAGAAGGAGATGAGCCACAGATATCAAGACAAGAAAGTTCCTCACGGCTGGAATCCAGCACCCTGAGACTGTACACTAAGCGGAAAGAGGGAGGCCGAGGACTAGTGAGCATCAAGGCCACTATCCAGGATGAAACATCAAATACCCAAGAGTACGGAATCAGAAAAATGGGCAAAAGGATGAACTGCTAAGTGAATGTCTCAGGCAACAGAAACCCAAAAATCCGAAACAACCTGGGGGACAAGCCCTACGCATGTACCACTCAAGAAGATGGCTGAGAAACTCAAACAGCACAGAGGCACTGATCATGGCAGCACAAGAACAGGCCCTAGGTAGAAGAGCCATAAGGCCAAGACAAGAAAAACTACCCAAGGGCAAACTATGCAAAGATGCCTCTGAGACACCACAAAAGGGTGTGCTGCCGGTTCAGCGTACATGGAGAGACACAACAAGTGGCTGGAATAGTGTACAGGAACATCTGTACATATGGAAAGGGCCGCACCACAGAGGATGGCTGAGAACAACAGGGCCAAGGTGCTGTGAGACTTCAGCATCCAGACTGACAAACAGGTCCTGGCCAACCAACCAGACATAATGGTAAAGGAGAAAAAAAAGCGGTGGTGGTAGAAAAAAGAAGAGAAAAGGCGGTGGTGATAGATGTGGCCATACCAGCAGACGCCAACATCAGAAAGAAGGAACACGAAAAGGTTGAAAAGTACCAAGGGTTGAAAGAGCAGCTGGAGCAGATGTGGAAGGTAAAAGCGAGAGTGATCCCTGTGGTAGTAGGAGCACTCGGGGCAGTGACCCCCAATCTGGGGGAGTGGCTCCAACAGATCCCAGGAACAACATCAGAAGCCTCAGTCCAGAAGAGCGCAGTCCTAGGAACACCTAAGATACTGTGCAGAACCCTCAAACTCCCAGGCCTCTGGTAGAGGACCCGAGCTTGAGGATGACACAGATACCACCCCAAGAGGGTGCGAGGGAAGTTTTTTTCTGTATAAAACCAAGCAGGTTTCAATCACTGCACGTCGATTTTTCCAGTCCACTGAAATGAACGAACCAGTTCCACACGATCTTTGTGCAGCTGATTTGTAAAATCTGGGCAAATAGCCAATGTAATTCATCATTATGGTCAATATTACTAAAAGCTGGAAGGTAAGTTGGCAACTTTGCCTAGCTAACCTAGCTAGCTAGCTAATTTCTCTTTATCATTATCAGCATCATCACACCATTTACCTTCCACTCCATGCGTTGTGGTGAGGCAGTTGGTGACGAGTGCGTCAGCCCAAGCGGTAAGGCAAGTCCTAACCGCGAGGCGCCTGTATGATGGTCCTCCAGTGCACAGGGGGCGCTGTTCACACTCCTGGGGCTGCCTGGGCCACTGCTGCCTGTGCCCATCCCTCTCTCCTCGCCCTCGGCCCTCACTGTGTCTCTCACTCGGTCCAGTGGATCCACCAGGCCCTCCGAGGGCAGGGTCATACAGCTCTGGTAGCGCTCTAATGGTTTGTTGTGGCTGTGGTGTCTTCTGGTGAAATAGGGACTGGACTCTGCACTTCCACCTATGGGCCTGTCAGTGGCTCCACCTGCAGAGATAGCAATACAGCTTAACAGTCAAAAACCAGAACCAAGGAGGAAACAACATTTTACCAGAGCTTGGGGATCAACAGGGGTCCTTGAATGGGGTCCCAAGCAAAAGGAAGAATAGTTTCTCATCTGGAAGTTGGAATAACAAGAGAATATGGAGTTGGCAATTTTTAATTGATTTTAATTTATGATCATACTTTGATCATTGACTATGAAGACTTTCTTATCTTCAAAGCTAGAAATAAAAATACTCTGAGGGGATTCCTTCAGACACATTCCTTTCAAACTGGGGTCTAATGTGCATCTACTGTGGAGAACCTTGACAAGAAAAAGTTGAATTATAACACAGTAGTTACAGCTTCAGCAGAGTTAGCGGTTGAGGTGCTTAAACTGGAGAAACATGCATTGTGTACCTGCTCTGGAGCCCCGGCCTCCATCAGCCACACCCCTTCTTGACGATGACCCCACTTCTCTGGTCAGAGACCTGATGGTGGCAACAAACAGGGCACAATATCCAACATTATTTATACATAAAACAAAAATATGCATGCAGCTTTATTAAGTTTAAACTGACAAGATCTGTTAAAATCAGTAAAAAACAAAACAATAAAGGAGACCTGAACTTGGAGGGTGTAGAGGGGGTGGACCTTGAGCTGTTTGCCACGTTCCCATTGGCTGTTTCATACTTCCTGTAAGTGGTGGGGGAAAAAGAGCAGCTGAGGTTTGAGTGGCGTCTCTCTCTGTCTCGGTCCCGCCTGTGACGCCGTGGGGTAAGGGGGGAGTTCAGAGGTGGGAGGCGACTGAGGGGGAGAAGAGGAGGTGGAGACATCAGTCGTCTCCCACCTTCATCTTCCTCTTCGTGGAGAGGCGGGATCTGCTCGGTGCTGACCAACGGCGTACTCCGGCAGCTCTCTCCTCCGGTGTTGTAGGCGCTGGTGCTGTCTTTGTCGTCCGACCGCTCTCGCTCTGGGAGCTCGTTGATGGCCGACAGCTCGTGGCGATGAGGGTCGTTATCATCATCGTCATTATCATTATCCAGACCTACAAATAAGGAAGTTTTGTTTTTCAGTTCCGAGGTTAAAAACTAATTAAAGTAACGACAATCCACATATTTATATGTGATTAGAGTTAATTTAAGCACATTCAATCGTTTTCTTTCAAATTAAGCCTTTCTGCCATCTAGTGGTTAAAAAGGTGAGGTAACGCTGCACTGTAGTGCAGAATGACATCAAAGAGCAGGTGTGGTCACAAGTGCAAAATAAGAAGAAATGATAGAACATTTAGCTGTAATAGTAAGTTTATGTGACATATGTGGACATTTGTTTAGTATTGTATCTTATCAAGGTAAATGCTAATTAAACAAAAGACCACAATGCTGTTTGTGCGGATAATTCATAAGGAAGTAACTGACTCAATGAGGTTTGTTAAGGCAAGACCAGAGATACAGGAAGATGTATAGTGTCACATCTTAAGTTGGCTAATGTTGGAAAAATGATAGCTAACTAGCTGACTAACCTATATCAATTGGTATCAGATGGAAAAAAAAAACCTTAATAATGCTGATGTGTTGCCATTTTAGAAAAACTAATGAAACAAGTGCAGATTTCCTCATTATGTTGATTTGAAATGTAGAGGCTGTTCAGGGAAATATGCATAATTGCTTTCTTGCCGAGAAATAAACAAAAATATTGATGTCAGTCTCATCTCTATAGGCTGAATATGAGCCTTTAACTTTATCGATTTTTACATGGTTACACAGCATCCTGGTTTCTGATAATCTGTTCAGTTGTGTCTTGATCTGTCAGTGTGTTCTGCACCAACAAAGATTAAAAGCTCACTTGTTTAATAGAAAAATAAGAAATAAAGAAAAATAAAGTGTAAAAATGACAGGTTGTGGTTTTAAGGTGGGTTGTGTAACGGACTATTTCGAGGCCCGGAGCTGAGACTATATCTGCTGGTTGCCTGGCAACCTCACAGCAACGACAAGACACAGAACCCCCCCGTAAAACCACAACTTTTATTCTTATAAAATAAAATAGGGAGGGATCTCAAAACATCTTCTTAAAATACTCCTATCTGGTTGTAATTCACATTTCCATGGATACTGAATGGGACAAGATGCTAGACTTTTCAACAACTGACGTTTCAGTTGTTGTCGTGGTTACCTGTTTCGGGAGGGCCTGGTCGCCCTGCTCCGACCACCACTGTCTCCTCCTCCATCATCCAGGCTTTCAGACATCTCTCTCTGAGCTGCTGCATCTTTTGCGCTCGGAGAATGTTGCGGCACTTGAACTCCAGGTGGCGCAACTCCTCCTCGATCAGCGCCATCTCGTGCTCACTCAAAGTCACATTGCAGTTCACGTCCACCACTGAAGAAGAAAAGGAATCTTCCTCCTCTCCTTCCTTCCCTGGCTGCTTCCTCTCCTCCTGATCTTTCCTCTCCCCTTTGACGTCCCCCGCTGCGTCTTTTTGCTGTTTTTCATTGCGTCTCTCGTACTGGCACTTGATCTCCAGCAGCTCCTGGTATCGCTGGCACTCCTCCTCCGTCAGACCTGGCATCATCATCATTGTCAGAGCGGGCTGATGGTGATGGTGGTGGTAGTGCTGCAGGTCAGAGGTCAGGCGTTAGCAGCCAGAAACCAACATAGAGGCCACAGAACCACAGAAGTCTTCCAGTAATCATTACAAGTCTAAATCTAGATGTTATTTTTGTTCGGGAGAGCAGCACTGATAAAATACCTTTTGTGTTTGATTATTTGCGCTTTCTGAAGACAAGTGAATGCAAAATATTTTCTTAAAACAGACCATTCTTACTCAGCCTGAATGGACACTCTGGGTTCATTTTACTCAGCTGAAACAATCTAATGAACTGTGATGACAACATTTCTTGTGTATTCAATGCTAAATACAATTTACTAAAGCCAACTACTGTCAAATTACAGTTGTTTTATCTCTTTCTATCCAGCAGCGCTGACCACAGTGGAAGCACTGGTCGCAGCGCTTGTTGCTATGAGACGACTGACAGCCCAAGTGAAGTGCAACATTTTAGATAATAGCTTAAAGGTTTTTCTCTGTGCTAAAGCACATACATTATCTGAGTCTTTAGGGTCATATTAGTTCTACAAAGAGTGAGTCAAGCTATATTCCATATTTTTGATCTTGAACTTTTGTCCTTGTGCGACGATAAAAAATGTGTGCTTTTTATGGGAATTGATGAAAATAAGTACGATATACAAAATCATACAATATCAATACAGACCTATCCTTTCACAAGACCTCATTTTAGTGTACCTTGTGGTGGTGATGGTGGTGGGGACTGTACGCTGCTCCACCTGTTCCTCCTCCAGCTGCCCAGTCAAGGCCAGGGAGGGAGTCAGAGCTGAGCTGGAGGTCTCGCAGGTGGAGGAAGGGAGGGGTGGTGTCTCCTCGCCCGGGACTGGGGCCAAGGCCAGGGCTGGGTCTAGGACTGGGTCTGTGTACAGGAAACACAGAGGGGTCTGCTAAGGTACACTAAAACTGAGTATTGTTAGATATGAATCTGAAAGTTCTTCCCGGTATTTGCATTTGTTACTGAAGTCAATTTATCGTCTAACTCCCCTGTCCTACCTGGGGCTGGGTCCCGGTCTGAACTTCCTGGTGCTGCCTGGTGTGTTGGTGGTGTTGGTGTTACAGGCACTGGTCTGATCACCCAGCAGGTCGTGTTCGGACGACTCCTCGTAGCGTGTGCTGTCGTCGGTCCGGCCCACTCCGCTGTCCAGCTCCTGGCTGTTGCACAGCAGAGGAGCCAGGCTCAGCAGAGGAGGAAGGGGAACAGGTGGGTCTCTGTCCTCCTTTTCTCCTCTCTCTCCTTCCTCCCCATCCTCATCCTCTTCCTCCTCCACAGCCACATCACCCCCTGCACCCTCTCCAACTCCTCCTCCTCCTCCCGGGCAGGACAGGCCACCACCTCCTCCTCCTCCTCCTCCTGTCCGGCAGAGGCGATAATAGCCAGAAAGGTGAGAGGAAGTGATGGAGCAAGAGGAGGCTTGAGGGTTTGGGTGGAAACTTCCTCCTTCCAGGGTCAGCTCCATGTCCTCTTCTGGGTCAACAGGGTTTTCATTCTGGAAGGACGCAGAGACAATTAATGCGAAGATGAAAATAAGCTGACATTGTATAGCTCATCATTAAATTATTGAGTGTTAATGGCTGTAATCATGTAAATGACAGTTAACTCTTTTAAATAACCAAGTTGACCTTCAAAAAAACCGACCCATGTCCACTCCAAACGGGAGCTAAGACAACTCACGCACTCATTTAATCAATCTACAGCTGCTTTAGGAAGTTACTGAACCTTTTTAAAAATGAAATGAAATACTTGTGAGGTGTCTTTTTAAAGATTCTGTCTTCAGAAGAAACAAGCAGGCTTTGAGCTGAGGTAGTACTGAAGGAGACGGACTAACACATTGTTAGTTTGAGTGTTTTTAAATTTTTAAATGGATTGGATTTATTGACAAGAAGAAAAATATGAATTAGAATTTGTGTTGGAGTGGTGCATTTAGTTGTGATATTATATCAGTTTTGGTCTTTACGAGTAATCAAATGTGTGTGAACCAATCTTCTTGTGTATCCATACCATCCGTGTGTGTGTGTGTGTGTGTGTGTGTGTGTGTGTGTGTGTGTGTGTGTGTGTGTGTGTGTGTGTGTGTGGAGTGTGTGTATGCGCGCGTGACCTTGATGGAAGAAATTAGGTCACATGGGATAAATATCCTCTCCTCTATTTCCTCTCTTCATCCATCATCCTCTCATCTCTGCATCATTTCCTCTATCTCTGATACTGCTCCCCCTCTGTCTCGTTTCAACAGCATTTACAGCAGGTTCTGTTCTTCTGCCACTATAAATATTTCACCATCTGCTCAAAATCACAAAGTAATAGAAAATATAACACCAGTCAATAACAATGATTTTTCTGGCTGGAAACACTTTGATTTTACTGGCTATAACCATCTTTTAGCAGGTAAACCAAAAGAATCTTACAGTCTGCAGCATGTGTTTTTTGCGAAATGTATTCCTTTTTATTTCGCCCATGTTAACTGGCAGCTACACTGCTCGCATGAGCCATGCAGTTCTCAGCAAATATAGACAGAGAAATTGATCTGTTTATAGTCATATAGACACTCTCCCATGGACAGTGAGTCCAAGGGATATGGGCTTTCCAGAGCTTTCAATAACAGTCTCTAGGAAATAGTAGTAGTAGATATAGTGGCATCTAGTGGTGTAGTTGCAGATTGCAACTCCCTTGCTTCATCCTCCTATTCTAAGTGCAAAGGAGACACTATGGTGGCTGCAAAACTTGTGTCCTTGAAGGAAGATACTGACTTGTTTCTGAACACCTTGTATGGCAACTTCTGCCGTCAGTGTGAATGTGTGTGAAAGGCTGAATGTGACATGTAGTGTAAAGCGCTTTGAGTGGTTGTGAAACTAGAAAGGTGCTATATAAATGTAGTCCAATCTGTTCCATTCTATAATCTGCACAGTAGCTGTCCAGATATCTTACTCTGGGGTTAAAAAGACAAATGTACTTCACCATAGTTTACCCCACCGGAAAGGGCGATAACAGACATAATTCATATAAATACATTATATAACGTCATTCAGTGCATTTCTGCTCCCTCTACCTTTCATCATAGCTGCTCCACTATCACTTCCTAATTTGTTATTTGCTCAGTCAATAAAACATCCATCATATCCTGTTCCCTCATTACAAGAAGATCTGACTGGCTGAAGTGTTAGAGCTGTCTAACGACTGACTGACTGACTGACTGACTGACTGACTGACTGATGGCTCATTTATTTAGTTGACATGTTAGTGTACACACACGCATGCAGACACACCACACATTCATCAGTGAATATCTATGTGTGTGCGTGTGCGTGTGTGTGTGTGTGTGTGTGTGTGTGTGTGTGTGTGTGTGTGTGTCTTTTAAGTGACGTGTATGAATATGCCGTCATGCAGTTCCTCCTCTGTCAGCAGATGTGGACACACACTCTGGGACCAGCTGTCATTCTAGATACATTTATCGTGTGTGTGTGTGTGTGTGTGTGTGTGTGTGTGTGTGTGTGTGTGATAACACACAGAGTACACACACACACAACCATAAATGTTACGTATATGACATTCATGTTATGAAGAAAAGAGGCTGAATGTGAGTGAATGCAGACTGAAGCTGGACGTGTTGGTTTCAGACCCTTAAAGATAAAGCAGAGATTGGCATTCGCTCAACAAACTCACTGTGAATTTCTAACAAGTGTCATTATTTCAGTTATGATGGTTTAGTTAATTTAGATGTTAGCCAGGTAGCCATGTTGTTTGCAGGCTGGGAATTCATGTTTGCAGTGCAAATAAAATATAGTTTTAAGTTTGATATAAATGTGATGGAATTTTTCCTTCTTTATATTCGACTGAAATAGTAGTGCTATATGCCACCTGAGCACCAACATATATCTGTAAGTCATCTAGTTCTTTTGAGAATTTCAATTACAAGCAAATCATCAATCAGTTCCTTCACAATAAATATAAAGTATAATTTTAGCCCACATAATACTGTGCAGTATTTCAACAATACTAAAAATCAATGTTATTTATAAAAGTGCTTTTATAATTTATAAAACACGTCTCGAAGTTCTAAATGCTGTCGGTTTCCCCTCCATTGAGTGAAATCCTGCAGGTTGTGGCTGCTGACTTTTTCAGTGGTGTAACTGGGAACTGGGTGTGCTTGTTGTCATAGAAATGGGTTGTGATGTTTATTGTAACTTGAGATATCTGCAGCCTTCCCTGTTTATCACACAAGCTGCTTCCAGTGTTGATAAGCTATTAGTTGTGAAGTGTAACCAATCAGTTTTTGTCTGTGGCTCAAACCGTGATGGGTTGCACTGCTACTGGGCTACATAAATTAAAATTGACTTGACAAGGACTAACCCTATGTAAGTTGAATTTTTGTATGTATGTATGTATGTATGTATGTATAAGATTTAACAAACTGTAAACTGTTAACATTGAACTTCAGGTCACAAAACTGCCCAAAAATTAAAGAGACATTAACAAAGACATAACCTCATGGATCTGCACACTTTCCCCTTTTTTTGTACCCAAAATACAAGTAAACCAACTCTACCCATCTAGACTGCATACCAAGGCTCAAGCTCTGGTTAGTTTTGCTGCACAACCAACATTATACTGTGTGGAGGGCAGAAAATTAGAATAAATCTGGTCAAGGTTTGGCCTTATGGTGGCATTTTGAGAAATATCATGAGGTCAGCAAATGTTGTGTTTACAACTGTTAGTGTCAGGAGATCTAATCATTTGAAAATGTAAAGTTTGTGATAATGGTAGTGCTATAGGACAGGTCACAGGGTCTCCAAAATCAATCAATATTTGAAAAAGGGAAACACATTTCCTGCCCAACCAGCTGTTAGTTTTCCATATGCATGTTAGTCACAGACGGATGGATAAATGAACAACTAAGCACAGAAGGAGGTGAACATATGACATCCCTGCTGGAGGAAAGTGGGAACCAAACTTTCCTCTGCTGTCGGCCCCCCGCAAGAGCAGTGATATGAGAAGAAAGTAGGTTAGTGAACTAGGCTGCAGGCGGGCTGAGTGATGAAACAGGAGACACTGTTAGACCTGAAGTTATGGATGTGATGACTATTTCTGGACCTGAAAATGAAGAGAACCAATCTCACAGGAAGCGATTCATTCTATTTTAAAGTGGTGAAGGGATTTGATTGACCAGTTAGTCGTTGGTGGTTCCTCTGTTTTATATCATCATAAACTGAATATCTTTTGTTTTCGTGGTTTGTTGGTTGAAAAAACAAGTGATTTGCACCCAAAACCAGCATTTTCCACACATTTTTAGATGAAATGGAACATACCCTTAATGTGTTCATGACCAATGTTGCAGATAATAAATGCTGTTTTGTATCAATAATCTAAATCTGCAATACAACTAGTAAGTAATGTCAAATAAATGTAAATTAAAAAGTAGAGTACTGGCTCTTAAAATGTAGTGTGTAACTGTAAAGTAGCATTAAATGGAAATAGTTCATTTACAATGAATTGAGTTACATTTCACCACTGTTGTCATGCAGATTGGGGCAGATTCTCATTATAATGTTAAATTACTTAGCTCCAATTTCATACCTCTGAGTGTCTGGTTGGTTTTCCCGCCTGTGAACAAGCGATAATGCGCACTACAACAATTCGGAACATGCTTGGGTTGAATTAAACTTACACAAACTTGGTGGTGTGGGTAGGCCACAGAACACCTTGTAAACCCTCTAATAGACCTGCACGTGTCTCTCCTGTATAACAGAGGTATTAGTTTCATCACTGAGAGTTAACCTGTAACTTTGGTTTCTATGGTTACCTGCAGTCTGCATTCCACAAGCATTGATTTAGGAGAGTGCTTTAACTGCGTTGTGTCGTGTGAAGTCACCTCTATATCCGGCCTGGCCAGCAGCAGTGAGAAGTTGATGCTGTCCTCTCTGGTCAAAATGGCCACGGCTTCTTCTCTGTTCTGAATATCCACTCCGTTGATCTGGAGGGGTTGAGGGGAGGTAAAGGGATCAGATTCATTAGTAAAAGTCATATCATACATACAGTACATGGGCATGTTCGTAGGCAGAGATAAGACAATATGGAGTCTACACTCAATGGGGCCAACACAACAGTATTTTTCATTCAGTTTTAGCCAATTAATTAACCTTTTTTATTTTCCTTCCACAGGTAGCCAATAGCTTCTTTTCATTTCTCACAATGTGTAAAATCTATTCCTATAATGACTTGAACAACGTTGCTAACATGCTGTAGAGCTCAAAGAATAAGTCTGTTAATCGATTAATCACAAGACAGAAAGATGATCAGCAGCTGTTCTGATAATCAACTTTAATTTTTCAACCAAAAATAGTGAAATAATGCCTAATATTTCGTGCCGTCAGCTTCTTTCGCTGCGAGGATTTGCTGCTATTCTTTGTCATATTAAACTTGATGGACCAGTGAGTAGATTTTGTGGCATCTAACTGTTTAACAGTGCCTCACCCTACCCTTCCAAGTGCAAATGAAAAACTACGGTTTGAGTTTTTTGTACTTGCTGTACACTGCATTTTTATTTTAGGGCACTTTATACAATACAGAAGAAAATATTGTACTTTTTACTGTGATAAATGTATCTGTCAGCTGTTACTTGTTAATTTGAAGGTTATGCATACAATATGTGTCCAGTTTATAATATGATTTATTATTGTTAAATTATTGGTTAATTATTATAGACAGTATACAAATTGCTTAATTTTGAAGCTTGAACTCAAATTCTTAAAACAGAAGAACAAACAAATTCTCTTTTTATGTGAGGTGTCACAGAAAATATGACTTAAAAAGCAACATGTATGAACCATGTGACAGGTGTATATGATATTATTTGGCTGTACTGTGTGTAATGACAGGTATGTTCCCCAAACTTGCAGACAGACGCCACATCTTGGACTGCCTTGGGAACGGGAGCTGACAACATTCATCCGCTGCCCGGTAACCATGGCGATGCCAGGTGCTGCTCGTGGTTTATTCTTATCCCATTTTACCTTAACCTTCTCCCTAACACTGCTTCCTTGAGGTCGTCAGTCGCGAGGGAAGGTCAGATGATAATGAGCGAAGAAATGTCAGGAAGATAAATGTATTCACGCTCGTTTTTCATCGTCTAGATCTCTTAGAAAGAACACATGTGGGAGTGCAGCTTCAGAGCAGAAACAAAAACATTGTTTTAACAGGATATGAAAAAGGTTAAATTCCTAATTAAACTCCCACCGCTCCTCTTACAAAGTAAAAAACATAAAATCACAGCAATTTATGGCACTTTGTAATTCTTTAGCATTAATTATAGGCAGACGGCCACCCACCTAGAGCCGGGGTCTGCTCGAGGTTTCTGCCTCTTAAAAGACAATTTTCCTCATGGTGGCAACTGTTGGGTCTCTGTAAATAATTTTTTGAAGGAGTACGGTCTAGACCTGCTCTATTTGAAAAGTGTCCTGAGATAACTTTTGTTAGGAATTGGTTACCTAGACTGTTACATAAGTAGTGGTGATAGTAAATTAGCATGTATTAAAAAAATTTTGTACATAAATACTTGTATTGTCACATCCTTGTTCAATTAGGGAGCCCACCAGTTCTTTATTAAGTTTCTATTTTATCCAAATTATTATTAATAATAATTAATAATATTACGGCATTTTACAAAGAGATTTGTTAGAAAAAAGACACACAAACGGGTAGCACAACCCTTCTCCAGGACGCTTTATGTTTTCATCTTGCCTTCATCAGGATGGTTGTTGTAGCAGTACAATACAATCAGAGGAAGTTTGTCTTCCAATTGAAGGAAAATGTTGCACTTTTTGCTAGGTTAGCAACTTGCTGTTAAAGGCTCAAGGTCTGTCAGTATTTTATTAGCAGTTAACATTCATTGGGTAAATGATGCGTAGCAGTCAGCAGAAATGCAGAGCTGTGAATGAAGAATATTAAAGCTGAATGTGACTTTTGCTTCTTTCTTCTTTTTTTTTTTGCTTTGTAAATTGTTGATAAGAGGGTGAATGAATATTTAATTGTGTATCAGTAGTAACAGTAATTAATTTTCCAACGTTCATAATACAAGATCTTGTTGTGGTCTGATATTATTAGAAGACTATAAGGCTATAGTGCTATGTGGTTACACAATAAAAGGATGGTAATATCTTGTATTTGTGTGTTTAAGGAGCTCCAGCATTGTGTATAATCAATTAATCTTTTGTGAACCACTAGTGGCATTTTGCTACTTTAGATCAACCATTTTACAAATTAAAGGAAAGAAAGTGTTCGTAAGGTCCAGAGCAGCTTCAGTATGATTGTCAGAGATTCTTCATGTATTTTGAACTCTACTGAAGGAATGAACAGCGTTCTTTCAAAATATATTCTCTCTTTTGTGTTGACGGTGACAGTGGACGCTGTCTGACATGTTGCTCCAACATTTCTCATTAGTGTTCAACCACCCTGAATCTCCTGAAGGCCCACTAGAACATCCTGAGCGTTAAACCTCATAAAGAACCACTAAAACCTAAAAAGACCTGTAGAATCTCTTCAATTACCAATAGAACCAACCTAAAGAACATCTAAAACTTCACCAATGGCTACTAAAACCTCCTACAGGACCCATAGAACCGTTTTTTAAACCTCTAAATCCTCTTAAAATACCCCTTGAACCTTCTTTAGATTCTCAGACAAATGTACTTGGGTAAAAATAAAGTTAAACACAACATGAAGTGTGTTACAGAACTTTAACCCAGGTTCTTTCTTTAAACCGTCACCTGTTGTCTGAATATCTTCAGTACGGCAGTGTTCTCTCTCTCTCTCTCTTGACTGACAAACAGAGCTGAACAGTGCGGTGGTAACACAGGGTGACAATGTTGTCTCACCCTCCATCTCTCTCTCTCTCTCTCTCTCTCTCTCTCTCTCTCTCTCTCTCTCTCTCTGTCTATTTTTAGGACAGCAGTAACTGGGCTGCTGACAGCTCTCGCTGATTGGATAAGACCGTCCCAGTGGTTCCAGGTATAAATTTACATAGTTTGATCTGAAACTATTCTTAACCCTGAGAGAGCCTGTTCATTTGGCAGAGGACAAGTTTGTATTTTCAGTGTGCAGAAAATGTGCTTACCTTAATCTGAAGGTGAACATTCAATATTTATGAATACAGAGATTTTTTTGCACTGTCATCAGTGGCTTAAATGAACTGTGGTAATTTAGAAAATTCAAAAGTCTAAAGTTTGTCCTAAATTGGAAGCTAAAGGAAAAGTCAAAGGGTCATTAAAATCAAAAGGGTTTTACTTCTGGGGAGCATGAGCCTGATCAATCTGTGAATTATTTGTTATGACAAAGAATTCCAAATTATTGGTCCAGTGTGTAACATTTAAGAGGGTCTGTTGGCAGAAATGGAACATAATATTCATAGGTATGTTTTTATTAGTGTATAATCACCTATAATCATTGTGCTTTGCTGCCACTGTAGTTCTCATTACCAGGTCATCAAATCCAGACATCAGCAGTGTTCAGTTAGTTGCAATCTGAAACTTCACCACTAAATGCCACTAAATTCTTCAAACTGGTCCTTTAAGAGTCAAATAAAAAAAAAAAAAAAATAAAATGTCTTTCCTCTGTTGTCATGGAGATGGTTGATTTGTTATCATATGACCCACATTCAATACATATATTGGGTCCTGTGATAATAACTGCGCAAACTACATCCCCAGAAGAAGATTGTGAGTTGTCGTTGAAAGCTCTTTAAAAAAAGCTATTGCGTGGACCCTGGGAAACCTGGTCTCACTCCCAAATCGTCAAATTCAGCTGCTTGGTCAGTGGCCCTCTGCTTCAAAATATGACGCTGTAGGTATTCCTCTAGCGTCATTTCTATACCTGCCTGCCATCAAATCCAAGTGATGTAGTATAAAGAGCGAGCATATGGAGCTGGTGGGTGGATGGCTCAAACAAACACAGATCTTAGATTTTGTGCTGTAATGTCAAGTATGTTAAGTAATGTTTTATTACTTTATTTAAATTATATCAGGTACGCAACAAAACAACGTACGTTTTATTCAGGTACTTAAATTATGTCAGGTACACAACATAACTTACAATCTTTTCTTTGGATAAACAAAGTTTTATTTGCAGTCAAGTTTTAATTGAATTAAGCAGGAATTGCATAGAACCTGTACTATAACAGACTCTAACCTATAACCCTAATCCAAGTGCAATGCTTTCATAAGGAAGGATTTTTAATGTTTTATCAGTGTTTGATGCAACCCAAAAAAAACCTCTCAATTGTCCAGATCTATGGGAGGGTTAACAACGTTCCCAATAAAGACAGAAGAACTAGAACTAAATTAATGTTTGTGTACCTGTAGTATTCGGTCACCCTCTCTGATACGTCCATTCTTTGCTGCTATGCTGTTTGGATTTACCTAAAGTGAAAGTGAGAGAAAGAGAGAAAGATAAACAAAGCATTAAGAATGAATTAAGAAACAGATAAATTAATAATGATTGAATGAATCCATTAAAGAGTATATTGGTATAAGCTGACTAAATGAATATAAAGAGTGAGTAATTGGTTGGAGGAATTATTCAAAGGATAAGATAATGAATAAAGTGATAAATGGATGGATGTAATAAATAAATGAAAAGATTAGAAAATATATGTATGAAGGTTGAATGGAAAATAGTGATTAATTGACTGAATAGGAAATGGAGTAACACATTTATGAGCTGTATTAATGCATCATGCACAGAGGAGTGAATAAATAAATGAGACAGTTGGATGTTAAAGGAATGGGTGAATAAGCTCTGGAGAGAAGGAAGAGTAGAGTAAAGGGATGAAGAGTAGATGTGTCATCACCTCTCCAACATAAATCCCAAGATCCTCTTCGTCATCCGTCCTGTAGCAGACTGTCAGACCCAACTTCTCCTGCTGACTGGATTTGTACAGCTCCACCTCCTGGAGGAACAGAGGAAGGCCTTTAGCAAGTCTTGGTTTGTCTCAAGCTTTAGAACAAATACAGTCTTATGACATCAGAGACTATGTGGCCCTCAGTGATTGGCTGGGACTACGAAAGACCAGTTGCCACCGTCGAAGACCAGCTGACACTATCAGGACTAGTTCGGACCATTGACTCTATATACCTAAATATCGGCCACATGATGGCTCAATCAAAGCACATACATGTTTTGGTTTCTGTCATTTTAGGCAGTTCTGATGTATGTAAAAGTTTGGTTTTAATTAGTTATTTTATGTCATATAAAGAGGGTTTCACATCTTGATTGACAGCTGAGCTCTGCTCACAGTTCGGCCGGGTATATGGCCGGAGCATCGTTATCGCAGCTCCAACCCCGATCACTATTGCACAGACTCTGGCTAGTTTGGAAAACCAAAAACCAGTTAAGACCAGTGTAACTACACCCATCAATTCTGTTTTTTTTTTAAAAATGAGACCAGCAAAGGACAGAAAAAGAATCCGCTGGAGCTTTTACAGTCACTAGAAGCACATTCACGGCCGTTTGTCAATGTTTCTGTGTTACCTGTGTTGTAGCTGCACTAACAGCTCAGAGAGGATAACTCTCCGGTATGATTGCAGCCTGAACTAACGCGCCAAAATAGAAAAATATTAAGGAGAGGGTTAGCAAAAACTAGCATCAACTACTGTGAATGATGTGTCTCGATTCTCGAGTACTCAAAGCTGTGCTCTTCCTTTATATAAATGTCATGACTTTAAGTAGTCCTAAATGTTCGACTCTGTTTAAGCATTGGCCTTACAAGATTTAGGGTGATTTATTGATGTGCAGATTTGTCAATTTTAACACCAGCCATTGATGTTTTTCATCACAGAACAGTCATATAATGTAGTTTACAGCTCAAAGAATACGTTTAAGTGTAGAAAGAGTATACCTTAGACCAGCAGTTTTTACCATCATTGCACCACCAATGGTTTTAGCTAGAGGGCATCAACAGAGGAATGTAGCAGAGAGGAGGAGGTGATTTAGGGAGGAAATGAAGGATGTAATCCAAGGGAAAAGTAGGACATTAGGAAGTAATTTGAGGGGATATAATGATGGTAGCGATTGGTAAAATGAATGAGGGAGGAAAGAGATCAGAGGACTGAGTGAACACGAATTTCAAAATGAAGAGAAGGAAGCGATTCTGGGAAGTCTCTTTGGTCTATGAGCCAGAAAGCGCACAAACGTTTCCACTTTGCTGACTTCTTTAATGACCAAACAGGCATTTGTCTCAGGAAACAGCAGTGAACCGACGGCGCAGAAACAAAGAAAAAGTGCCATTCAGCTAAACACAGTGGTCCATTAGGCATTTGTAAACTGAACTTAGAGCCTCTTTTCGAAGGTTAAGACCACTCTGACCATCACTCTTCCTGATTTTCTCCAGCAAACATGACAGCTTGTAGAAGTCAATTTGTTTCAGTGACATTTCTGAAGGCTGTGGATGGTTTTGCAGCACAAGCAGAAATGTCTGTATTTCCATTTTCCTTCCTCCTCTGAGTCTTTTTCCATCCACCAGGTTTTCATGTAATTGACCCCTTGCTCAGTTCTCTGTCTGTGCACCTCCTCCTCTCCTCCATGTCTTTCTTTCCAACCTACCTCTCATCCTTCCTTTTGTCCTTATATCCTTTCTCCCTTTCTTTTATACCCCTTCATTCATTTTCACTTAATTATTTATCTCCTCATACTTTTCTTCCTTTCTTTTCTCACTCCTCCCACATTTCTCTTCCCATTTCCTTCTTCCTTCACATTCTTACCTCTAACCTTCCTTCCTTTTTTCCTGTCTTCTTTCCTCTCATCCCTTCTCTTTGTTCTTTCCTGACACAAGATCTGCGCAGTAACCCTAAGGTTGTCTTCTAAACTAGGAGGTAATTTTATACTTTTCTCAGTAACAGTGCATCACCTTCAGTAACCCACTGAAATGCTTTCAGTCACATCACTGCTGTGCAGAGGTGTCTTGCAGCACTCAATGTAGTTAGGGTCACAAGTCAGAAAATGTATTTGAAAAAGAAGCTTTTGGTCTCAGTTATGCACTTAAAGAGTGATCCATTACAAGGCAAGAGTAAACAGCTGTGTTGATCAAACTTTAAACACATCTGCACATCTGAAATGAGACACATTCACACACATTTTCAAGCAGCCTGAGCCTCGGCAGACAGATTTTGTCATATTTTGTAAGGCCTTCAAAGAAATACACTGAATATATGAGTGAGAGCCCCTCTGAAGGTAGCTCATCAGTGAACTATGTTTGCAAGAAAAAAAGAGTCTTTCCTCTCTGAGCAAGTCTGTTGTCTCACAGCAAAAGTGAAGAACCACAGCTGGCTGGCTCAGTTCATATTCCAGATGTATTCATCAGGCTAAAAGACTTGCATGTGTCTTTCTACTTCTAATAGTGACACAGATGTGCAGCTGGGGATGCCAGTAGTCTCTCTCACACAAGGGGATCTTGAGGCATTTAAGATTACTATAGAGGTTAAGTACTTGAAAAAGGGTTGACAACCAACTGTGTTATTGAATGAAGGATTGTCATTTATCATTTTTTAATGACATTTGGTTTATGATAATACAGCAGCAGAGTCCTCACCTCATACTCCAGGTCATCCTGCCTGTCCACCTCATGGTTCGAGACGTCAAAGTAGTCATCGGGGTCGTTGTACTCAAACACACAGCTGGAGGGAGAAGGGAGGAAAAATCAATTCCCATCATATCTAACATTGTTGATTTTTCATGTCTGGAATTATTTTCCTTGACACCCATAACGACTACAGGTCAGGACATACAACTCATTGATCCCGTATGGTCCCACAAGGTGAGGGAGGGGAGGTGAAGGTGGAGGTGGTGGAGGGGAAGAGGAGCCTCCTCCCCGGCCGTGGTGGTGGTGATGACCTCTGCTCTTTCCCAGAGTCACAATGTTTTGGAAGCTGATGTCCGTCTGCGTGGCATTGTCGACGCAGTCGGGGATCGCCACCATGGCAACAGAGTAGATAGAGCTGCTGCCAGTCCCGTTACCGCTGCACACTAACGTACCTGAGCAGTGAGGAGGGTCAGGTTAACCAAACACAGAACCGAGCTGAGTTTAATTTGTCTTCATTTAGTTTTTAAAAAATGTGTTGAAAAGATCATTCATTAATTTTGTGAACTGATCATGATATCTTGATGATAATGATATTATGAGAACCAGATCTGGGTCAGATGAGATCAGTACATTTTGTAAACATAACACACATGTTTAGGCCCAACATGCTTGCCGCCTTTAGTAGGAATAAACCAACAACTCAAGAAAATCAAGGTATATGTAAGCTGTAAAGCTGACAAATCTGTATTTACTGCATGTTTTATATATATTTTTATCTTGGCAGCTATTTGCTTGAAATGACAGATAAAAATAGGAGAGTATACAGATGACAGATGATGATACTTACAGATAAGCAGAAATGATAAAACGCTGCAGTTACATCAGAAAAGATGGTAAAAGTCGAGTGCTAACATAAAAATATTTGATATTTATGAGAGGAAGGACATGAGAGGAAGTGTCAGGAGCTATGAAGAGGGGAAGAAGAAAGAAAAAAAAGAGAATGTGACAAAGAAGAGAGCGAAAAATCATCTGGAACTAGATGGGACGAAGAGAAATCAGATGAATGTAATGAGGCAAGAACGTGGGAATGACAGAAAAGAGGATAAAGTGAGGTTTGTGTTGGAAGTAATGAAGTGAGATTATTTTAAAAGATGAGATGGAAAAGGGAGATTCCCTTCTGACAGCAGCACAAAGCTTCAAAGACAGAAGAAAAGAAAGATGGACTACCTGTGTGAAATGAAAGCAGATAAAAGCACTGATTAAAGGATAAAATATGTGCTCATGCATGTGTCTGATGTTGAATAGTGGGACTTTGTTTACCTTTCCTCCTGTGACTCTTGCGGACCGACCCAGGTTGGTGCAAAGACTCCTGGGAATTTTGTGGTCTGTCTAGCGGTAGCTGAGAGGGCCTCCGTCCTCTGACCTGAACAGGGGATCAGAGTTACAGATTGAGTAATTTGTGGACAGAGCCTCCAGGTCTGTGAAATTAAGACCAACGCAGAAATCTTAAAGCTGCATTCTTTCTAATGACCAGCAGGGGGAAACTCCATGGGCTGCAAAAAAAGAAGTCTGTTAGAACTGAATCATATGGCGAAATCAGCCAACTTCTTACTTGATTTACTAGCTCAGTAAATGATTTCCTGATGAGTTTCTGGTCTCAGTCTGTAGTTTCAGTCTTCTTCCATACAGCATGATGTTCATTTAGTAAATGATGGTCCCATTTAGAGTAAAATAGATGATAAAGCAGGGTATGCTTTAGGGCGGGGCTACCTCTACATCATGAGTCTGTCCAGTACAGACTACAACTAACAAGTCCATCAGCAAAAAAAATCACTATTTTCCGTATATAGTTATTCAGATTCAGTCAGATTATTGATTACCTTTGAAATAAATGAGATGGGCAGTATACACACTCCCGCTTTTGTTCACAGAATCAACACAAAACAAAGTTTCTTGTAAGGGCTCTGACCTGGTTCTCTACACAGTGTTATGGCTGCTGAAGTGGCTGTTATTGCCACATAGTTTTTTCTTACTGCCCCTGTCATTGTGGCTCTGGTTGTTGTTGTTGTTGTTGTTGATTACTGTGGCTGTGACTCAGTCTTTAAAGGTTCACAGTGGAGTTCTTGACCTCTAGACGCACTATGGTTTTTCTACGAGCAGGTCCTCTGTTTACCATGTTTTACCATTACACAGTCTCACCAATGGTCACTGTCTGTGTATACACCCAAGGATATACTGCTGTGTGCCAGCAAAGGTAGGGAAGAAGAAAAATGTAGGCTAGTAAACATGGTTGTAAACGATGCTGGATTTAAAATACTAAAAGATCTCCTCCAGACAAACAAATAATAAAACCTATACACAAACAGTCCTCTTGGAACAATAATTTGTGGAACAAAATTGTCTGTCTGATATCTCCAGATAACCCAAACAAGTCGAGGCAAACGGCCACCAACCTAGAGCCGTGAGGTTTCTGCCTCTTAAAAGGAAATTCCTCCTTGTCACTGTCACCATGTGCTTGGTGTACATTATTTTAGAAGTATGAGTATGGGTATCTATTAGAAAAATATCCTGAGATAATGTCTGTTTTCCTGCTGGACACAAGATGTCTCCTCCTACAGTGAACTGGTGGATCACACTGTATAAGTTGCATACTCTACCAGGACTGACCTCCATACCATTTGTGACGTCATAAGTCATCCTCATAGGCCCCGCCCCTTAAAATCTGATTTTCAATGAGCTCAGAGAAACTTTCCACTTTCAGCAGATCAATGTGAAAACATCCTTCTAGTGTCTCTGCACAAACACACCTGCCATAGTTGATGGCTTTTGATGATCTCTATGCTCTTGTTAATACTCCACAAGCTGTAAAGAATAGCCACAGCTACAGCCGTAGACCTAACAATGACCATATCCTATACCCACGATGGTCACAACTAATAGTTGTATACTGTATATCTCTCTGTAAACATGGAAAACAGTGGGATGGAAAGATATTGCAAAACAATGCAAAAGGTTATTGTAAGGGAATAATAATAATAATTATCATCATCATTAATAACTAGTACAAAAGAAAATCCCACTGCGACCTTTAGGCGTCCCTACGATAAACAAACCCAAAACAGCAGTAGATATGTATGAATAATAAAAGACATGCAAAGGGGGAAATAAAAGGTCATGGGCAGTCTGCTCATTAAACTAAAAGTTTTATTTGAGTACAAGTGAATATGAGATAAAGTTGATCCCATGACCTGCAGGCAGCGCTAGAGAAACGGTCATGAAAAGTGTTCATTATGTGAGGAGCACGGATGTGTTCAGTTAATTTCTTGGTAATCTGCGAATCCGATTTATCTATTTCTTGCGTGCAAGTGGATTTTTCCCCCTGATTGCACTACTTGAGGAAAAATCCGGATTTATTCTATCAACAGCAAATCTTTTTATATTATTATTATATTTTTGTATTTTAACATTCACAGACCTTAAAGATGACATTGCACGGCACCAAAACGACCACGACCCCAAAGGTTTGTTAGCAAAACGTTAGCCAAATGAACAATGACAGATGAATACTGAAACCATAAGGAATAATGCATCTGATGATTAATGATTCAAGACAGAGTTCAGAAATCAAACACCTGAGGAAAATGATTAAAAAACTGAAGGTAAAACAGAGAAACAATTCAAGGTCAAAGGCTGACTGATAATGAATCAAGGTACCTGCATAATTCAGAGCATCTGCGGTCTCTCTAGTTCAAGGTAATGAATTAGCAGTCAATAATGAGCTCGGTTCTGAAATGCTTGGTGGTTCTAACACACAGTTTTGTTTTTGGGAAGCTGCTGAATACGATAATGTGGAAAACTGGGTGCGGGAGGGTGTGTACAAAGTACTGATACAGTAGATGAACAATTCTTTTAAACATGTCGTATAATTGTATATAGCAATAACTGTGTATGGTTTTCACAAATTTCCGCAGACCATCTGGACATCATTTGGGAACCACTGGATTAAAATACCCAACACATAAACTGGAGTGAAATGAATATAGTTTTACAGTTTCTGTTGTGAATTGCTTTTAAGCCAACATGGACAAGAGTTCCTGGAGTACTCAGAGTACGTACGTTTTATTTTATATTTATCTGTCTGCTTATCAAAGACTGAATGAACAGCACTCTTTCCAGAAGTAGCACACTGAAAGAGGTATGGGTTGTGATATGAAGAGGAACTACCAACAGCATCAAGCAACCAAATAAAGCTTTACATGTAGATGTGAATGTATGATATAGAGTCAAGACAATGCACACTTATCAGCCCCTCGTCAGATAAATCAGTGATTAAAAGCCATACAGATGACAGTCTGAGAGGAAATATTCTCTATCTATCATCAGCTTTATGGGAGTGGAACCTTATTAAAGATGACTGATAGGAGGGATGGAGGACAGGAGAGTCGGTGAGGAGGAGGAGAAGTCGTGGAGGAGGATCATTGAAAACTGATGGATGGCAACATCCAAGTGTGTCCTACCTTCGCGTTTCCATGTCTGTCCATCGGCCGCAGGGAGTTACTCCAGCCTTTTTGCTAACGAGAGAGAGGGAGACAGAGATAGATGGTGTTACTGAAGTTGGGAGGAGAGCGAGACAGTCGAGAGAAGAAAGAAGTCAAGGAGAAACGACACAAGAACACAAACAACAGAGACACCAACATTAAGAACTACACATCTTTATGTATTTGTTTGTTTGTTTGTTATTATGTTCATAATGCCAGTGTCGCCACACCGTACTCCATACAGTGTCAGTGTAGACGCCTGTATGACGGTGCAGTGGCCGCAGTAGTATAAAGAGTGATGGGTGGCTGAAATGCACACAGGATATAAACTGATTCACTTTACTGGGTCAGTTTCAGAGCCTTCACTTCTCCACTCAGACTTCAAGTATGCCATGTTACGAGTGACGAGCACACGAGGGGCACGTCAAATGAAACCCACCTAGTGTTTTGCTCAAGGGGACGCACTGTTGGCAGAACAGATGCTAATTTAACGGGCAGTCTCTAACCCCTGGTTCACTCCCACCTCAATCAACAGCTCATAATTAGCTTACACACAACGAGCCGCCAGACACACACATTAGCATCCGTAATATAGCTGTAAGCACAAGCGGGTGCAGGCGTCACTCGGGGGGCAATATGAAAAGAAACACCTGCTCGCAAGTGAACACGGAGGTAATTATTTATGATTCAGAGTGTCTACTGATGTGTGTGAGTGTGAACTGTAATAATGAAAATACTGTGCGAATCTTTTTTATTTTCCAGGCGTGCTGCAATCGTCACTTGTGAAGTTAATGTCTGCAACACACACACATCAAACTGATACCTGAAGACATGCAGAGGACCTCTGAATGCACACACTAACCTGCTACTTCCAGGTGACACACACACACACACACACACACACACACACTAGCTCATAAATACTTGCATGGCTGCACACAGACACATAGCTCTGTCTAACACACCTCTCCTCCTCCCTGCCTTTGTTTCAGAGCTGATTGTTATGCATTACATGTCTTCTGCAGGTTGTCTGGCTGTGTGTGTGTGTAGGTGTGTAAGTGTGTGTGTGTAGGTGTGTGTCAGTGAACATAAGGCCTGAGCCAGTCAATACCCACTCAATAACCACAATCATCTATCAGGCCTGTTGTGGTGTGGTCACTGATTGTGTTTCATCTGCCATTAAATAGGCCAGCCTGGACTCTCCACCCTGACAAAACACATTTCTCTGAGAGACAACAGTGTGTGTGTGTGAGTGTGGGTGTGTGGGTGTGTGTGTTGTTCAGTGCGTGGTTATATGGAGAATAGCTTCACTTGGTTCCAGACGTCTGAATTGGCCAACACGGTCTGGTAAATGGTTACTTTTGTCCACCTTGTTGAACTGCCATGTTTCTACTGTAGCCCAAAAGGAACAAACCAAACACTGGCTCTAGAGACGGCATTCACATCACTTTTGTTTTCTTTTTGTTTTTGTTTGTTACACAGTTTTTAATTCATGTTTCAGTTCCTCACTGTATTTAACAGCTAGCTTTATCTCAGGTTTAATTGATGGTAATAGCCGTGATGTTTACACTGCGGTTATAAGTCTGTGCATCTGTGTTTAGATAATGGCCTGGCAGATAGATGGATTAATGGATGAGGCTAGCAGATTTGAATATTCAGTACACCGGTATCATTGTCTTTATTTTGTCTGTGTGGATTTGGCAGTCGACTGTGAATGTGTGATTATAATTACAACAATCCCCGGCTGCCTGCTGCGCTCCTGCTCATTATACTGGTGTGTATGTGTGGTTACAGGGACAGCAACAGTAAGAATCCCGACAGAAATCACAGCTAAGTGAAGTGTGAAATTAATAACTGAACAGGAGAAAAGAGCTGACTGTTCTCCTCTTCTGTCGGCAGTTGGCTGCTATCTTCCATACAAGGGCTGGTTTTCACCTAATGGAGCTTTATGTTTGCCCAGACAGGATGAATCTCTATCAGCAGCCTGTTGTGTTTTATCTCAGTCGAGGTGATATTGATCATTTTCAACAAGTAGGGCTCACAGAAGCACTCAACAATTCCCCCCCCAAAAAAAACATTAGTCTGCACAATTTGATAGCACATATTGGGCCAAGAGGCTAGTTAGCAACTTGCTTTGACTTTTTAATGATGGAAGCTGGAGCTGAGACTTCATTAAACTTCATTACTTGTGGAATATTGATTGTTCCACAGACCAGTAACAAGCAGTGTTATTATTCTGTCTCCATGATGTTCCTCAGTCAGTATTGACGAGTGAGGCATGTGGATTGATTTCTAATCCAGCAGTCTCAGTGTTTCAGAGAGAAGTGAATGAAATCAAATATGTTAATGAAAGAGTGAACATTTTCTTTATCAGTGGTGGAAAGAGGATTTCAAATCTGTTCTCAAGTAGAAATATTACTGAACAACAATGGAAACTACTGGTATTTAAAAATACTCAAGTTAACAAACTATAGTATTTGTTGCCAAGTGCTTGCTCATGGTGTGGTGTCCTTTGAGGAAGTACTGGTTGTGGTTTAACACTAGGTGTGTGAGAAGTTCATTGGAAAACAACCCTGGTGGCTGCTAAAGAGGTTAGCATAGGTGCTGCTAGCATCAGTGGAACTGGATTTCTTCAAAGAATGGCACTGAAGGTTTTTCTATGTGGAAAAGACGTTTTTGCTCTTCCGACTAGTTTCAGTGAGAGTTTAGCAACGTTACGTGGTTCATTGATCTGATTGGTTGAAGTTCGCTGATGATAGACAGTGATAGATGGTTCATCCAATCACGTGCCTGGAAACTGCTCGCTCTTTTCCAAACAGCTTCCAACGATAACTTTCCAGAGTCAGGTTGTTTATCAGGTTAGCACATCAACTTCATCAATTCTCACAGTTAGCATCCCCACATGAATTCATTCTTGACTGTAAAGTGTTGGACAAGAATAAACTTTGACCTGGTTAGGAGATCACTGATGTTATTATAATCAATCCCCTGGGGGGCGCCACAGACATAGCCTCCGCCAGCGCCTCACTGCTAGCTCAAGATGAGACCTGACATAAACAGGCAGCAGCATAAACGTATTGACGAGTAAAAACACGACTGAAACAGAAGGCGTGCCTTCAGCTTGCAGGCCTGTTGGGTTTTTAAATAGAAGCACGTGAACATATGGAGCTGATGGTGATTATTTTTATTGTCCTGTATTGTTGTTGCCATGTGTTCAGAATGTCTCCATCAATATCATCTCCCGGGGCTTCGACACGGTTCTCCTCCCTGTTCATTAACTATTTACTGATTCCATCAGCACACATTTCCACCACATCTATCAAAGACACACACACACACACACACACACACACAAAAAAAATAGTTCCACATCAACACACTTTCCTCTGGCATTTATCTCTTTCACCCACCACCCACTCCCTGTAGTGCATGGACACACACACATACACACACACTGTGGAGAAAGATGGGACGAGGGATCCATTTTCATTCCCAGCATGCCGAGCAGAAAGCAGAGATACTATAATCATACCCGAGAGAGGGGGAGCTACAGAGGGAGACAGGGAGCGGTCAGAGAGAGAAAGAGTGGAAGAAAGAGGAAAGTGGTTGAATCCAGACGGGGATAAAGGAGGAAATCAGGAGAAACTGGGGGACAAATTGGAAAAAAGGGAGGGAAAAGGGGGGAGGTTGACAATGTAAAATACCAGACAGGGAATGTGAAAGTGGGAGAAAAGAGGTGAGAGGGAGTCTCAGCCATTATAAAGAGATTTCTACTTTCAGTCTCTCTTTCTCTCTCTCCACTCAGCTCTCACCTCTCTCAATCCTCCGGACTTTCAGAGTCTAATGGCAGTCAGGCTGAGGTTGAGGCTGAGAACAGACGTGGAGATTACCAGACGGCCCCAGAGGAACAGTGACTTTATTCTGTGTGTCAGAAGATAGACACTGTGATATCTGAACAGACCATGGGTATGTTTCCATCTAATTTATAAGTTCAGTAGATTTAAGATTTATTTTTAAGATTCTTTAATAAAAAATGAAAAACTTGCGAACAATCTCTGGAAAAGTTGTCATGTTGACAAAGAGAAGATGCGAGAGAGACTGACTGAAGGAGGTTCTTTTGAATACGTTTTGTTGGAGATGTATACTGAAATTTGCATGAAGCATGAGGAATACTTTAATTGAGAAATAACACTGTATATGTTTCAGAGAGCTTGTGGCGTACCGCAATGTCCCACATCGCAAAATTGGTCTGTCCCAATGACACACAGCCCACTTAATCTCAGCCCAGATAAAGCAATAAATTATGGTCCACAAGTGGGCCGGATCTGGTAGCCACTTATGGCCAGTGACAGCCGTATCTCACAGTGTGTGACCATAGCGGGCTCTGATCTGACCCTATGTTGGACCAGACAAGTTTCAGACCAGGTTCCAAATGTCAACCTTAACTAAATCTTAAACGTATAATATGTCATTTCTGCTGCTATGGGATATCTGAGGGAACACAATAAAAATGATAAAATTCATCACTCAACGCTATTTAAATACAGTTTAAATGAAACTTTGGGTGACTTTTTATTTTCTCACCTTATATTTAATTTTGGCCTTATCACACCACCCACACCAAACTGTGTGTACACTGGTCTGAAGTCAGATTCTCACTGCACATTCTTTTATAAACACCAGTTCATGTGAAGGAAATGGGTTTTGTGCATCGTTTACACATCTGGCTCCAGGTGTTCTACTGACACCTGTGACCATCCTGACCTCTGAGTCTTTCAGAAAATGAACTTGAAATGAAACTGGACGAGACTACAATGGACTCAGGCCAGCTCTGTCCAATCAGTCATGGCGCTCAAATAATAATTATTATAATCAACTCTTTCACAATTCTCTCATGCATCCAAAATGCACCCTCAGCCTGATAAACAAAGCTGTTTTTCTCAGTTTCTAAAAATGTATTTTGAATACACCGTAAAGGAAGACAAAACAGACAGACACAGCAGGAAGAATTCAAACGAGTGTGTGCACATCGGCTGGCTCATCAAGGAACACACACACACACACACACACACACACACACACACAAAATACACACTTTCATTTAAAAGAAGAAAAATCAATACACACACAAACACCTCGGCACACACTCACCTGCACGGAGGAAAAACACATCTGTTGTCTTTTACACTTTACAATCTCCATGCTGCTCCAGAATCCTGGAAGCCTCCAGAGTTTCCTTAAACACTCTGAATTATGATTCATTATCCAAACACATTTGCATTTTACCCTCCAGGCATTTCGCTGACGCTTCTGTCAAAGCAACAATAATCCCAACATCCTCCTACATGAGCGTCTGTTCCTGTTTCTCTGTCTGATGTTTGCAGCTCGACACCACCGACCAGAAAACAAGCATGTTCTTACAGTTTGTCTGTCAGCGCCCTCCAAACCTGCTCGCATGAGCATTCTCTGCACTCATACCTCTGTGGTTAGATTTGGTTGATATTAGTAAAATAAAACTAAGTCTAGTTAAATATCCTGACGATAAAAAGAAACCAACATTCCCAGCATGTTAAACTCCAGTCTCTACCACTGAACACTTTGTATGTCCATCAACCACCCCCACCTCCACTCTGTTACTGCCCTCTGCTTCATGAGAACCTCACACTGCTCCTCAGTACTGAATCTAAACACGGTTGTAAGCATAAAGCATGATTCTATGAAAATATATTGTTTCTATTTAACCCACTACAAAGCACATAAAACATAAAATAATTTTTAGAAAAATCTAAATATAAAACCCTTTTTTTTCCGGGTCTCCGGAGGTGAAATGATACTGAGTGTACGAACCTGGACAAATAAAGCCCAAACTATCTGCATGCATAGATACCACTGGAAAAAAGGCAAAAATAGCTTTTGGGAGAATTGATCCTTTAATGTTATTAGTCACAGCTGTGGTTTTTGTGCTTTGATGAGTCAAAATGGCCAACATGAATAAAAGTCTACTCAGTCTGTTTGCTTGCCAAGAGAACCTGAGGAAGCTGCAGTTGAAACCCGTTGTTTGCTCCTAAATAAATCAGAGTGATGTCATTCCAGCGTGCCGTGGTTAATTTGGATGTTTTTCTACATTTTCCTGAAACCTACCAGCACCTGACTGTTGTTGGCAGTGCATGGGGAGTTTTGTTTATGAGGAAAAGTCTGTTCAGACTCAGACTGGATGTGTATACACAAATGTGGCAGCAAGTCAGAAAGCCTGCTGCTAATTTTCTTTTTCCGTACAATCTGTCCTTCAAACAGCCATATTATTCAGATTTAGTTCTGCACATTCAGCCCCATCATTCAGAAACATTTCCGCCCCTCACAGCCATAACATCATACAAGTGATTTCCATTTCATTTTAGGAACAAAGCATGTAAATATGAACACACAAATCATTTAAATAGCGTATTATTAGCTTCCAGCTGGATGAGAGGGCCACTGGCACACACTGGTAGATATTACACACATTTATTCCATGGCTTATTCTCAGTCATGTGCCTATTATGTAAATCCACACAGCATCAACATGCATCACAGGCACAATGGGTTTTAAGATTCAGAACATAAACTTAACAGGGCAGTTTAGTGCCTTGCTCATGGGCAGAGCTTTCCACCTGCGAGCATGTTACTTCAGACAATAGTGTCATAGAATATTTGAATACATAGGTTGGGAAAATGCTTTCAGAACCCTGTAAGATAGAAACAAAGATTGTTTTCATTGAGTCCTTCAGGTCGCAGTAATACAACAGCTGTCATCGGTATGTTCTATATGTTGTGCTGGATATGGTTCCACCCCCTGTTCATGAGCTCAATACTTTATTTGCATAACAGACAGCAGTGTTACACACACTGTGTCGCTGTAAGTATAACAGCATAAACTCAGAATACTAACACACAGATTACCTCTATCTTGTGTGTTTAAGATTCATAACTGCATAGCAAACGCAACACTGATCCATGCCATCATTTCCCTCCTGGGGTTGTCTGATGAGCTGAAGCACCATTACACACAGCGCAGTCTGTCAGCGTCAGCAACCATTCTCATGCAAATGTTTATTTGGAGATCATATTTGTGGACACATTTCCTCCTGTAACACATTTCCTACAATATATACTGTAAATATCAGTGGTAGAGGAGGTATTCACATATTTTACTTCAATATCACAACTTCAAATGACTCTATACTGTTACAAGTAAAACTGCATGAATTCAACATTTTAGTTATCATCAATATACTTAAAGTACCAAAAATAAAAGTCCTCATTATGCAGAATATGTTGTGCTATAAATATGTGACTGTCCTCGTATGTTTTTTGTTATTGCCATTCAATTTTGGCTATTGATTGATCACTCTCCCACTATTTTGGATGGTTTAATGCCAGAAAGCAGGGTTTGAGTAATAAAATGAGCTTTGTGGGGGTTTCTTAAATAACTAACGTGGGGGCGGAAATAAATAATAATATCCTAACGTTTGTGCTTTCCATGAGAGAGAGAGAGAGAGAATTTTCCCCCTTCTGGTATCATATGAAAGTAGCCCAAACATATTCAATTCAGTGTGATATAAAACAGGCAAAAGCAGCAAATCCTCACATCTGGCAAGCTCTAATCACACAATATTTAAAGCATTGTGAGTTGATAAATAACACAAATAAAATATAATCGGAATGGCTTTGGTTCATTTTGTGTTGTTCAGTGAAAAGCTTTCAGAACAATTTTTCATCCTCAAAAACTGGCTGAAATGTTCTGTAACATTCACTCAGCCCTCTGTCTGCTACCCTCGACCAAACTGCCCCTCCTGTGGATGCAGCAGCAGTGCATCATGGGGTTTGTAGCAACATGTTACCACCTGGTGTTCAGCTCAGATCTGCAGCTGAATACAAACGAGCCGGTTCTGTCTCTGGAGTGTTTCTTCTCTCCGCTGCTGACGGCCTAATGAGCCGACAGCTCATTAAGACTAATGTAGTTTTGACGACTCTGAGAGCACGAGTGCTTTTAAAGAAGAACGTACAAACGACGTCTCGGAGTGCCATAATGCGAGAGGATGGATTCATTCTTTTTGTCTGTCAATCACACTTTTACTGTCTGTGGCTCTCCAGTTTAATGTGGTCCAGTTTGTCTGAACCGATACTCACACTAAGGTCACCAGTGTCCCAAGCAAAATAATCCGAGTTACACATGGTTTAATGGGGCTTTACAAGTGTGAATCGTGACGTCACCCATTGCTTTGTACTGCGAGTTGAGCTTCTCTCATTGGCTGCTCTTGGTTTCAACTTATCTGTAGCAGGGCACAATGGCTGCACTGGAAGGACCAGTGTTTAGGTCTTAGTGGCATCAAGCGTCTCAACCACACATGAAGGAGAAACTGTAGAAACATGGAGATTTAACATTTTAAGGTAATAAAAACACAACAATTCTTATTCTAATGAAAACATAGCTATGAATATTATATTCCATTTCTGACAATAGATGCCCATATATCGCACACACTGACCTTTTCAATGAATGAGTTCATTTGTGAGCTTGAGAGGCAGGCTAGCTGTTTCCCCCTGCTTCCAGTCTTTATGCTAAGCTAACTCTAAACTGAGCTCCAACATCCTGATTCCAGCTCTTAGCTCTCCAGTGTCTTGGATATTGTACAGTATCTGTATCTTGTGTCTGGAAACAGCTCAGTGTTTGTTTTATCTGAGTATGTATAACAGCTCCACTTTAGCTCAGTTTAGTTTTCAGTTTTGACGCTGAGTGAACCCTCAGTCCTGTTGAGCACATCTTTGAAGTAATGTCTGCGTATGTCTGCGTCTCTCTTTCGTCCTTTTCAGTGTCTTCTGTCTGCCGCCCTCTCTCTCTTTAATGATGCCAGCGACAAAGTAAAGTCGTTTACACAAGCAGCTGGTGGGGTTTTCTGTGTGTGTGTGTGTGTGTGTGTGTGTGTGTGTGCGTATGTGTGTGCGTGTGTATGTGCATGTGTGTGTGTGTGTGCGTGTGTGTGTGTGTGTGTGTGTGTGCGTGTGTGTGCGCACACTCATTACAGCAGATCTGCCAGCTCCAGTATGAGAAAGCATAAATACAGCTTCCCTAATGACCTCGGTTACCGCGGCAACAGCATCCCATTGAGACAAATTTGACAGCAAAGTGAGGAGAAGAGGTGAGGGAGACGGGGGGAGGGGGCAGGGGAGGTGTGGGGGAGGGGGAGTAAGGGAGAGGAGAAACGAGAGGGGAGGAAGAGGGAAAAGAGCAGAGAGAGAGATATTCAGGAGACAAACAGGAGGAGGGTGAGAGGGAGGATTGATGGACGGGGATGGAACGGAGGGAGACGAAGGGAGGAGTGTTGGGGGAGGAGGAGAGCTGATAAGAGAGAGAGCGAGAGGAAGGGTTAGAGGAGAAATAGGAGTGAGAGGAAGGAAGTTATTAAAAGACAGAGTGAGAGATTGATAAGACTACACTGATGAGTATTTACAGTACTGATACATTACTCATGCTCTGTTTTAGGCTGAAGTTAACAAGAAGGGTTTGTAGAATCTGTTTTTATGGTTTTAATAAACTGCTAGATTTGTTTTACTCGTCCATATTAGCGAACCAAACTCACTGAGCCGGGCTGTCATCAGCCTGCCCAGCATCCATAACTGACTTCACATTGGACGATTCTGCACCTCCTGATTTATTTACACTGCCGATATTTAATGCCAGTGCAAGAAGCAATGTGCCCTTTATGTAGTGATTAAAAGTGTAGAGGTGAGGATGGTGTACGGGTGTGTGCAACTGGAGTTTGTGCCAGTTCATGGACATACAGTTTAGATGTTTAGTTAGCAAAAAAATAGCAAAAAACAGAGAAGGGCGTTTCCTCCTTCCACCTAATTAACAATTCCAGAATCTATGAATATGGTTAGGGTTAGGGTTAGGTGAAATATGTTTTAACATCACACTGAGTTACATACTGGACCATGATTGACTTCCTGAGCTATTTGTGAGTTCAGTGAGCTCAAAGAAACTTTCCACTTTTAGCAGATGAATGTGAAAACATCCTTCTAAAGTCAAACTCTGCACAGACATCATCCAAACATCACACTGTAGGAACAAGAAGAAACACTGAGTTCTGACTGGAAGGGACTGAATATAATCAGGTGTTTTCTGAACCGTCCAATATCAGCTTTGATGTTGTGTTGCTGCAACACAAAAATTAAACTCTGAAAAAAGATGGAAAGGAAAATCTGCAAGCCTTTGTAACCATTCCACTTTAATTAAATCCTCACATCCCTTTTAAAACCAGCCTCTCTCTGCATGTTAATGAAATTCCAATTGTATAATTTCATGAGGATTTTTATTAAATGATCCGCAGTAATCATCTGATTACATCACGAAAAAAAGACGCACACTGCACATGTGTGGATTTATAATTATAAGACAGAAAGTAATGCCAGCTGGGTTACATGACTACACAACATGTTCATATCCAGAATGTGGAGCTCTCACAAAAGCAGTTTGTTAAAGGTGCTGTTAGTGCAATCAGTGTTTTGGCTAACTTCCCTTCTGTTGTTGAAGTTAATGTAAACATATATGGAAAAATTTAAATGAACATAGAGATCATATATAAACCTTATGGTATATAAATACCACAAATAGAAATAATAATACATTGCCCAAAATAATTTTAAAAAATGCACTCAAAGGAATTGGCTGTAGAAGGTTAAGTGTCTGCAGAGTGTGCAGCATAGAATACAGTTATTACAGCAGTAGAAATATGAGAAAATCAGAGAAACCCTGAAGAGGGGAGATCATGAAATAGAGAGATGGGAAAAAGAAAAGAGAAACGATAGAGGTGGCAGAAGATTTAAAACCGAGATCAGAGAAGGACGACTTTAATAAGAAGAGTCAGAGATATTGTAGAAGAATGGAGGGGGAAGGGGAGGGGAGGAGGAGGAGGAGGAGGAGGAGGAGGAAGAGACAGAAGACAAGGAAGAAAAAAATGAAAGAGATGGAAATGGAGAGGGGAAAAAAAGGAAGACTGAAGGACAGAAAGTGAGAATGGGGAGAGGTGAAGAAAGAGGCCCAGTCTGTGTGTCCAGACAGGCCCAGGCAGAGGAAATCGGATGAAATGAAATAAGCTTCTACACCTGTCAGCTTTAACACACACACACACACACACACACACACACACACACACACACACACACACACAGCTGCAGGGAGCCCTGTGGGACACACACACACACACACACACACACACACACACACACACACACAAGTTTGATTCCTGACGTTTGATTTTCACTTCAGATGTTTTCTTTGCTTCCCGGCAGCCATTTAGCTCCGTTCAGACAGACGGAGCTGGAAGCCACCAGAGAGGCGTTCAAATGCTCTGAGGCAACGTGGGACAAACCAGAGGCTGCTGTTTTGTGGCAGCACTTACTGGCATTTATTCAGGAAGTGGATTCCATTTACAAAAGGAAAAAAAGTCTTCCATATCTCACTGTAATCTGCAGTGGAGCTATTGGTTCCTCATAAATGAATCAGACTCATGTATAGGTTATATTGGAATAAAATGAAAAGTGAATTATTATATTACCATCTGCAGATTATCATCCTCCCTCCTCCTCATCTCTCAGACCTCAGCACCAGAACCATCAAACAAAAGTAGCAAAAGACATCAATCACTACGGTAACTCTTCCCATAATTGAATTACTTAAAGGTCCAGTGTGTCACATCTATTGACATTAATGGAATATAATATTCATAGGTACAGTATGAGGCGATTTTGTCTACAGAGGGAGCGGGTCCTCTTCTACAGAGTCCACCATGTTGAACCTCCATGTTTCTACAGTAAGCCAGAATGGACAAACACTGGCTGTGATGCGGATGGAGAGAGCGAGTATTGCAACTACACCTCCACTAAATCCTACACACTGGTCCTTTTATATAAAATATTTAATTTCTTACACTATTTGATATTTTTGTCTTATACAGACATATAATGATGATTGCTGGGCAGTAGGTCGATGTTGTTCAATGTCAAGTCTCTATTTGATCATGTGGTGAGATGATACTCATTCAACTGTAAAATCCAACACATATTGGTCATATACATATATTTATGTGTATGTATATATATGTGTGTATATGTATATATATATGGCACACTTAATAAGTAATTCTTGTGCCCTGGGTCCAATTATAACTGTTGTACGTGACTGAACATGTTGATTTATTTGGAGCTGTCTGTGGATCCGCCTGATGAATGGAAGTCCAATATTCTCTCTTGTAGCTGTTTTGGTCTCTACCAGCTCCGGAGGGAAATATCTGTTTCTTTAGCTGCTAAATGCTCCGTTCACCAGCTGCTCTCTAACAGTGTGAGTCTGCTGTTTGCAGTGGGTCAGTTTGCAGGTTTGTGACAGGAAGTGAAATCGGTTACATTAGCTTTTATTCGTACTAATTATTAACAATGGAGATACAGATGCTAGTTGTAACTTTGACCCACACTGTGAGTGTGTGTGACAGCTCAGACATTCCTGATCTTTCTCATTTCTCTTTCTCAGTGTGTTCATGACGTGGGGTCACACAGCTTTGGGCTCATTGTGAATGGTTAACACACTTTTACAAATTCTGGGGCCTGCATCCATGTTTGCATCCAATCACGTCTTTCCATTGCTCTTGTAAGCAGTATGCAATATCACGTCTAAAATTAGCTTCAACCTGTGTGTGTGTGTGTGTGTGTGTGTGTGTGTGTGTGTGTGTGTGTGTGTGTGTGTGTGTGTGTGTGTGTGTGTATGTGATTGCTTATCATCTCCTCCTCAAATCTCATGAGGTCATCAGAATCCATTACAGACCTCATTAATCACACACACACACACACACACACACACACACACACACATACACACACACACACACATTGATAGTGACACCCTCTCATACGTAGCCAAGGTGACAGGGGGCATTCAGTGTGTGTGTGTGTGTGTGTGTGTGTGTGTGTTTGTGTGTTTGGCACACTGAGGCAATAACTGCATAACTGTTGCTAGGGGAGAGGGTGCCATCTGTGTGTGTGTGTGTGTGTGTGTGTGTGTGTGTGTGTGTGTGTGTGTGTGTTTCTGCGTGTAGGACAGAGGGAGGAAGAAGAGGAAATGAAAGACAAGAACGAGGAAAAAACGCTACAATAAGTGTGTGTGTGTGTGTGTGTGTGTGTGTGTGTGTGTGTGTAGCAGGGAGAACATGTGAGAGTGTGTGTGTGTGTAACATTTAATCAGACTGATTAAATTGAGCGACAGCACAGATGACCTTCAGCTGGATCCGACAGCTTCAACTCCTCCAGGTAGTTTGACTTTTGTAAAGATTCACGTAATCGAAGAGGAAGGTTTCCCAGCTGAAGTCACGACTGTAGTTACTGAAGTTTAAACAATACGACTGCATTATCAGCATTCAACAACCGATCATTTGAACCACTATGTGACTATGAGTCACAGTGAATGTGAGTGTGTGTTTATTTAAAGCAGTTTCCTCTCCAAATGAAATATAATAGGCTACTGTGCTTTCCATAATAATGTTAGTATAACCATAATGCAATCATCTAAAACTTCTGGATATTTATGAATTAACTCATGTTTAGTTTCCCTGATAGTCTGATCATTTGCATTTTTGCTACTAGGAAACCTTTTTTAATCAAATAAAGGTGGAGTAGTTTTGTCAGCCCTGCTCAGTGTCTGCAGGTCTGTGTTTCAGCCTCCATACGACAACCTCCAGAGATAGGTTGGGCAGCCTGTGTGTAGCCTACGAGGAAACACCCACTGCTATTCATTAATCTTACTGCTCTGAGCGGATGGTAATAACTGAAGCCTACTCGCTCCTCTCACCGGCAGTGTGGCAGCAGGTCGGTAAGAAGATGAAGATCAGAGTGAGAAAATGGA